CGGTCTGCTGCAGAGTTTTATGTTCCTGACCCTAATCCAAAGTACATTAACAAACTCTTTGTCGACCATCCAGACAGGTTAGCATGCTTATTTGCTGTATTTTATCTAATTATGTATGGAGTTAATGACAGATCTTAAGTTAAAAGAAAAAAAAAAAAATTTGATTGTATGCACATGTGCTAAACTGTGATTTACTTAATTATTACAGAGACCAAAGTGCGAGCATCCACCACCTCATGTGTGAGGTCTTTTGTACCTATAACATATGGGCAATTCTTAGTGAGTGAGTGAGAAAATATGGGTCGTTGGGCGCTTAACATATAGATAGCATGCTCTGATACCATATATATATATTAAAAATGTTAGTATCCAACCCAAAACTAATTGGTAATGGATACAAAAAAATCCTTTTAACTCTTAAGCTAGGCTTCAATCCTTCGATTTGGGATATTATCAGCACGAAGTACTTCTTACAACAAACAGTTACAAATATAAGGTATAATTTATAAGATATTGATTATTTTTTTCTTCTTAAATTGGCAGGTTTAGGCAGTATGGATTGTGGGAAAGATACTCAGAGTTATATCCTGATAAAGACTTGGTTTACACAGTTGGTGTCAGTGACTATAGCAAAGACTGGTTCTTCGCTCAGGTTAACAGGTGCCATTCTTCCCCATTAATGTTTCTTCTTGATCCAGACTTGTCTCCATTTACAGCATGTTGTTACTTACATTTTCGTTTCTTCTATTAATTAATATTTAGGAAGAAAGATGATAATAAATATCAAGGAACTACTTGGCAAATCAAATTCAATCTTGACACTGTAGACCAGAGTGGTCCCTATAAGCTGAGACTAGCAATTGCATCAGCAACTCTCTCTGAATTGCAGGTATATAAATATGAAACTACTCACCAAACCCACTACTAGCCTTCATGATTAATTAATGCACCCATATATGAATACTTTTAGCTATATTATTTTACATAATTATTGAAATAAATATGTTTTTATTTATTTATATAGGTTCGGGTAAACGATCCAAAAGCATATCATCCTCTTTTCTCAAGTGGGTTGATAGGTAAGGACAATTCAATAGCAAGGCATGGAATTCATGGGCTATATTGGCTTTTCAATGTCGACATACCTAGCTCTCGAATTATTGAGGGAGATAATATTATCTATTTGACACAACCAAGAAGCACAAGTCCTTTTCAAGGAATCATGTATGATTATATTCGTTTAGAAGGCCCCCCATCACTAAGTTCCAAAAGAGAGACTTGAGGAGGTTCTTCCAAAAAGATTTGAATCATTATCTCCTTCAATAGGTTTACTATCATTCCGTGAGCTTAATGAGAGATTGTAATAATGATGCAGGAACTAGGATTGTACTTCTGTTTCTCAAAAACATGCTTGAAATTGATTGTAAAATAGATATATAAAAGGAAAGAGATTAAGGTTTCTTCAATAAGCAGACATGGGCTTAACCAAATTGGCTAGAGCGTATGTGCTCCCCACTCTGCACCCGAGTTCAAATTCATCTCCTTGTAGTTTAGATTAGATTAAAATAGATTATCGCTTATATATAAAAAATTAAAAATTCTTCAATAATGGGTGTCTTTGAATTAATTTAAAGAGCATGGTCATGTGTTTCTTAGGTACAAATTAAATATTTACTAGTTAGGTATGGTGCTGATAAAAACAACCCCTCAAGTTTGTGTGTAGATGTAAAGGAATTCTGACAAAGTAGAAGGCATTTATTTAAAATTCAAAGACAACAATAACCAATTATCAAGAAACATGTCAATTTGCCTTATAGAGTTTATTACTCATATAGTTGAGCAGGAAGGCGTGGAGTGAAAAGGACTTCAAGTGGGGTAGCTTTATTGTTGGTCAGTCCCACCGTCTCACCCATGTCGACCGGCTCATCCGTTGGAGTTGCAATTTCAAAACCGTGAAGCAAAGAAGCAAGTGTTAATGCTATAACCTTAAGGGCAAGTGACATTCCAGGACACATTCTTCTACCACTTCCAAATGGAATTAACTCAAAATCATGACCCTTAGCGTCAAAGCTCTTGTGGGTTGTGAGAAATCGCTCTGGTCGAAACTCATTTGGGTCGGACCACACCTTCGGGTCTCGAAGAAGCTTTGAAAGGTTGACAAGGAGGCGCGTGCCTGCCGGGACATGATAGTCACCGACCATGCAATCTTCAGTCGACTCGTGAGGCAGGGATAATGGTCCGGCAGGGTATAAGCGCGTTGATTCTTTGATAATGGCTTGGAGATAGACCAAGTTCTTGATGTCTGATTCCTTCACTTGTCTGTCTTTACCAATGATTTGGTATAGCTCTTCCTGAGCCTTCTTGAGAGCTTCGCGGTTGTTGAGAAGTAAAGCCAGAGCCCATGTCATCTGCACCGCAGGTGCCTCTACGCCGGCTACTATAAGAGTCTGCAAGAAAAGAACACATTGCAACACGCATAACATGCATAATTTTTTGTTCACCAAATGATATGTCAGTTATGTCGTTTTTTGTTATAATCAAGTGAACAGGTTCATAGTGGAGCAAAAATTGAATAGACGAAACACTGTCACATTATCTTTTAATATTATAAAAAAAAAGAAAAGAAAAGAAAAGAAGCGCACACCATGGAAGTTGCTTTGTTGACAGTATCAGCATCATAATCTGTAGTAATCTCATTAGCACCATCAACATCAAGAATGGAAAGCATCACATCCATGAAATCAAGCTGATCATCATCACCCTTCACTTGGCCTGAAATCTTCCTCTTCTGCTTGTGCTCTTCTAGCCATCCATTAAACACAAGATCAAGCTCCTTGGCTACCTTCTTCATGGCCCTCTCATGGCCACCCAAGTCCAACCACCTCAACCAGGGAATCGCATCGGACAGCACAAAAGTCCCAGACAATCTCAGAAAATCCATGTACGTCTCCTTCTTTAAATAATAGTTACTGCCTTTGGAATTTGAGCTTGTAGCTTCCCCAAATCGTTTAAAACAATGTATTCATTTATGTCCAAAAACCATTCCCTCATCTCCACCAACGCCTTGTTCAAACCGGTACTACTCTTCCCGTTGGTCACGCATCGCTCGTATATTCCTTTCATGGACGCCTTCACTTCCGATTCTCGAACGTGTTTGAGCATCTCAAGGCGGCTGTTGGAGAGAACCTCAAGCGTAACTATCTTGCGAACTTGGCGAGAGTAGTGGCTGTAAGGGCTGAAGGGGAGGAAGGCATAGTTGTAGGCCATGATTTCGGCCGCCATGAATTTCGGACGACTAGCAAACACTTTGTCGTTGGTAGTAAAACACTCTTTTGCTATTTTTGAGCTGCTTACGATCAGAGCTTCATGCACTCCTATATTTACCCTGAAGATTGGCCCATACCTCTCAGCCATTTTACCCAAAACTAAATGGGGTGGTTTTGAACCTCCTAGTAAGTGGAGGTGGCCGATTATAGGCCACGCACCCCCTGCTTTTGGTGGTGATTTTCTTTCCCCTCTTGATTTCATTAAGAGAGAGTAAAGAAAGAGTGAAAAGGCAGCTGCCACAAGAGGTATCAAAAGATCAGATGAGCATGAGAGGTTAAAAAACTCCATGGCTGGTTATAGTTGATTGGGTTTGAGTTTGAGGATTTGGAGCTGAAAAACTTGTGATATATATAAGCGCATTTTCAAGGAAGTACACACAAATAAAATGGGCAAAATTGTACCATATAATAACCTGGGTTGCGGCATTGCCTATCCGGAGACAATAGGAAAATGCTTATGTGGCTGCTCCTTTACCCACTCCCTCAAAGTTGCTCTTAGAAAAATCGATTGACGTTGATTCGTGCCAATTGAGGACAAACACATTGACAATGACTGGGAAAGAAGAACCAATTAGAAGGCATGCACACCCATGTGTGTTTCATTTATTTCATGCACTTTAGCTTTCCTGTAACATTTATATCATGTTCTAAAGCTCCCAGAATTGTTTATTCATTATGTGTTAGTAAACAATAGAAATCAAGAATCATAATAAGGCAAGTATTTTCACACAAACCAAAAAAGAAAAAGAAAAAGAAGAGTGCTCGATTGGGACCATTCAACTTTGAGGCTTGATTTCTCAACTTCTTCTTTTGGCGGTCGATCAAACATCTTTCGAACATTGTAAGTTTCTCCACCTTCACTGCCACAAGCTCGAAGCAGATGATCCTGGCGATTTTGAGGCTGAGAAACTGTATATGTCTCAAGATTTTATCAACATGATGTGAAGGAGAACTCCCTTTCTCAAAGAAATGCTTGAGCGAGGCTATAGTTTCATATTCACGATAAGTTTTCTAGCTTACAAGTATAAAATGTGATTCAACGTATTACATATGAGGTTGTTGGTCACGATTACTCGACCAATTGCTAAGAACATAATATCAATGTTTTCAAATGCGCGACGCATAGGCGAGGCGTTTTCCCACTATATCAATATGAAAAGGATTTTTCCCACTATCAAATGTTGAAGAATCTTTATCTATCTCATCATCTTCATCCATATGAACAATGAATTAAAATTATAAAATTTAGTGGTAATGAATTAAACACTAATTGTAACTTTCACTCCATGATTTACTTTCCATACTTACTTGAGGTTTCACCATCTTTTCTCTTTTTTGAAGCTAACGAGGAAAGAAGAACATCATCGTCAAGAATAAGATCATCATCAATAATAGGATCTTGAGTTCTAGAATGGACAATAGGCTCTTGAGTCCTAACATGTATATTCCCTTGCTCTTAAGTCCTAGGATCACCAATAGGCTCCACAGAAATAGGCACTCGAGTATGTAGATCAGTTTCATAAGGTTCAGTGGGCATATTTCTGATGACATCAACATCATATAATTCTTGAGAATTAACCAAGTAAGATCAGTTGGTAGAATTGGTCTTCAACCTCAGCTATCCATTCATCATCTGACTCAATTTCATTCACCAATATTGGATCAATCTTTGACCTCCTTCTAATACTTCTATTTCTTAGTGTCGTATTATACTTCACATATACTAGAGCATTGAGTTTTTGATGTTCAAGTCTATTTCTTTTCTTTGTATGAATCTAAAATGAATATAAACATACAAAATTAGATTTAGAAGTATCAAAATTTGAACAATATATTAACAGAATTACTTTACCTGCTCAAATGTGCTCCAATTCCTCTCACACCCAGATGCATTACAAGTAAGGCTAAGGACCCGAATAGCAAACTTTGTCAACTCAGGTGTGTCCCTTCCAAAACGCCTCCACCAATTTGCTAAAAAAACAAAAACAAATCCATCTAATTAAGTTTAACATTTATTTCAAGTGTTCATTATACTCGAATGAAAATGAAAAAGTAAAGATTATAACCTGGAGTTCGTAGTTTCCTTGAATTCACAGCAAGACGACTTCCAAACTCTCTTTTTGCCTCATCATACAAGTCCAATTGGATATCAACAGCCATACGATCCTCAAAAGACAACATCCTAATTATGCAATCTTCCAATCCATTCCTCACTTCATCAGCATTAGAAAAGGTTTCTTCATAACGCAATTGAGGGTTCAAATAATAACCAACAGCATGTAAAGGTTGATGAAGTTGTGGGCCCATTCTTCTCCAAATTGGTTTAAACTTTCTTTCAACTTTTCCATAATTAAAAGCAATCTTCTCTTTTGCAGCATCTATTAACTCATAAATAAATCCCATAGCAGGTCTCTCCTCTGAATCAACTTTTCTCAAAACCGATACTAATGGAATAACACTTTTGATGCAAAAAGCAACATAGGACCAAAAATTAACATCATATAGTATAGTTGAGTGAGCCCTAATACCTTCATTATGTTTGACAAATGGTCCATTGTGCCATTTTCTAGAAGAAAACATTGCCTGAAGAGGTTGCTTTTGCTTATAGATGCTTTGAAGAGTAAGATAAGAAGTGGCAAACCGTGTGAATGCAGGGCGAATTATCTCTTTGTTTTTCGTGAAAGATCTCATCAAAGCAAGAACCCATGTATGCCTATAAATAAACTTCACTACTTTCTTGGCTAGTCTAATTGTATCTTCAAAAACTTTCATTTTGCTAATATCTTATAACATCAAATCAATGCAGTGGGCATCACATGGAGTCCACCATAACTTCTCCCTCTTCTCCATAAGTTTCACTCCAGCATTTTGTAATTGGAAGCATTATCTGTTATTACTTGAATGACATGCTCTTCTCCAACTTCTTTGACAATATCATCTAAATATTTGAACGATA